CCGTGGCCGAGTGCTCTTCCTGCAGCGGAACAATGGGAATCGGCGGCCCCTTTCACTCCGCTTTATTTCCAGTTCTCATCGAGCAGCAGAGTGCTGCAATGCTTACGTTGCGAGGTCTGCAGAGAAACATTGGTATGCTAAGAGAAAGCTTTTTTGGTCTGGGCCTAAAAGCAGCCGGTATGAAAAGATTTACACCGGCGCTAGAATTTGCAAAATCCGTTTTATCGCACTTACATTTTGAGATGCAAGTGAAATAAATCACGCGTGGAAATGGATGATTGATTTATATCAGGTATGCCACCAATCGGAGGCAAATTTAACCTGCTAGTGTCTTAAAAATAAATAAGACCCTGTAAGCAAAATTGTGGGAAAGCAAATGGAGTTCATCACGGCTCTTAAATCTCTGTATTTTTTTTTCCTGTGGTTGACAGTGCACGTCAGAGCCAAAGAGTGATGGAAAGTAATGTTCAGGCAGTGTCTCGCTAAAACCCTGCCAAGGCTGGGAGAAAACTGGGAAAAAATCCTGAAATGCAGCGAATGCCATGAACGGCGCTGCCTCCTCCTGCACGGACACCGGGGCGCGTGGGGGGACAGGGAGCGTGGCAAGAGGAGAGGCTCTGGGGCAAGAGCAAGATAATCAGAGCAATTTGTCTGTTTTTCTATTTTTTTTGTATATTCCTAGTTTGTGAACAATAATTTTGCAGCTCTAATGAATCCTTAAGGAGAGATTTTTCTGTGTCCTGTATTACCCAGTGACCAGTAGAGCCAGTTCAGATCTCCCATATGTTGTGCTTACAGAGTATTCTCTTTTTTTCTGAGTACAGAAATTCACGGAACAGCAAATAGATGCCTTTAAAAATAAATCCGAGGGCTATTTGATTTATTCCTGTTGGAATAATTTTATGGAGCATTAGAAGTTCAGAGAGAGTAAAATATTCGGAGCAAAAGCCTTTTTCCTCTGTCAAAAGCAATCAGAATGGAAGCAGAATATTTTCGGGTGGGAGGCGGCAGGAATCGTGGCCTCGTCAGTCCCGTTTTCCTGCGGTTGCATCCGGGGTGTCTGGACCCTTCTCCACGGAGCCGGGGCTGTTCTGTGTCCCTTCGGGATGCTGCTCCTGCCCTGTGTCCCTTCAGGATGCTGCTCCTGCCCTGTGTCCTTCGGGATGCTGCTCCTGCCCTGTGTCCCTTCGGAATGCTGCTCCTGCCCTGTGTCCCTTCGGGATGCTGCTCCGGGAGCCGTCGCGGTGCGCGGACACTCCGGGATGTCCCCTTGGCCTTCGGAGCGGCTCTGCTGCATCGGCCCCGCTCCCAAAGGCGGTTTGGGGTGTTCTGCGTTGTTCTGGTCCCGTTTTCCCCCTTCTCCATGAAACGTTGCATTAATTATTGAGCTGCTCTTTCGTTATTTATTGCAGCGGCGACGCTGAGCCGAGCGGCTCCCACCCGCGGGGCTCAGCCTCGGAGTCCCCGCTCCGTCCAAAGAGGAGGAAAAGCCTCTTCCAGGCCAGGGGGACGGAGCGCTGGGGCAGGCTGCCCGGGAAGCTGGTGCTGCCCTTTCTGTTGGTTGATTCCAGCCTTTCTTTCCCATTTTTTTGGTCATTTTTTGGTCATTTCATCATCCCGGTGCAGGGGTTGCCCGTGCAGCGGCCTCAGGGCCGGGCGGCCGCAGTCCCGG